AGAACCAAAGCATAAGAGACTCTTAAAAACTGAGAACTGAGGGTTGATGGGGGGTGGGAGGGAGGGGAGGGTGGGTGATGGGTATTGAGGAGGGCACCTTTTGGGATGAGCACTGGGTGTTGTATGGAAACCAATTTGACAATAAACTTCATATATTGGAAAAAAAAAAAGAAAGAAAAGGCTGTTTATCCCAGAGTTTCTGGACCAGGATCTCTGAAAGTGAGTTCTCCAAAGGATGATTTGAGGGCATCTGGGTGGCTCAGTCACTTGAGTGTCCAATTCTTGATTTTGGCTCAGGTCATGATCTCACAGTTCATGGGATCGAGCCCCACATCAGGCTTGGGATTCTCTCTCTTTCAAAAATAAGTAAATAAACATTAAGAAAAAAAAGGTGATTTGAGGTCACCCTAAAATGAAAGACCTTCTTAACTTTGAGGAGATCTCAAGCCTGTGTTTCCTGGGCCCACTTCCTATGGCCATTCCATCTCACTGTCCAGAGGTTTCTGGAGGACAGAAGCATTTTTTGGTGCCAAGCTGTGTCCCTCCATTCCCTGCTCCCAGGGTAGTGATTGGGATGTGTGGAGGTGCCTTGGATCTCCTTGGAGACAGGCCCACATAGACTTTCCTGAGTGTGTATATCAGTGGGGTAAGGGAGGCGGGTGCATAGATCTGAGCGTGGGTCCCTCTTGTCTCGCACCCCAGCTCTTTCCTGCAGTGTCCCCCAGCGAACCTTCCTACCGCAGCCTGCTCTTGATCAACAAAGGCTCCATGCTGTTGACCTTCAACCTGGCCCCCCAAAGCAGCTCAGACATCTCCTTGAGGCCCAGTTCAGGCCTTGTGGCCCCAGGAGCCCACCAGATCTTCCTCATCTGTACCTACCCGAAGGGCAACGCTTGGAAGCAGCACATTTTCTACTTGCAGTTCAATTTTTGTCCCCAGTATCTCAAGGTAAAAGGCAGAGCTAGGGGACTGGGTCCTGAGGAGCGAGCCACAGTCTGGGGCTTCCCTTTTCAAAGCCAAATTCTGGGGTTGACCTCTAAAGCTCCCCTAAAGTAGTCAGGGGGCTGCTCCTCTCCCAGGAAGTGCCATAGCAGGGAGAGGACACCTTGGCCACATCTGTGAACAGCTCTCCTAACCCCAGGGCCCAGCATATCCACCTCAAGGTGTCTGGAACAAGAAAAGAGGTGCAGATGTCCCAAAGGAATAAGTGGGGTCAATACAAGACTCATATCTGCAGATAGTAGAAGGGTGTTTGGGGCGGGGCCAGGGAAAGGGGCCAGGGTGGTGGCCCCATCTGGCCCATGGAATGGTCTGCACATCCTCTCTTGGTCTCCGAATTCTTTTCAAGAGCCATCTCCTGGGTCAGACACTACCTACTCGGCTTTGACAGAAGCTGTCTATGCCCAGACTGGAGGAGGGCCTTTTGCTGCCCTCTCCAAGGGGGAAAAGCTGCCCACCCTGGCTTCTTGGACGTTTGGGGGAGCCAGGTGAGGTCAGAGCTCTTCCCTCCCTCCTCTGGCCCCAGGAGGTAAGCATGCAGAGCCGGGAGGAGCCCCTACATCTGAAGCTGGACACCTGTAAGAGCGTGTTCTTCAAGCCCACCTGGGTGGGCTCCTCATCCAGCAGCCTCTTCACCTTCCGCAACCCCTCACGTCTGCCACTGGAGTTTGAATGGAGGGTTTCCCAGCAACACCGGAAGATGCTGGCCGTCAATCCCGCCAGGGGACTTATCCAGCCCAGTGAGAGCCTTGTGAGTGCCCTGCCCCACTGCTGGGGGCCCGAGGGAAGGAAATAGCTGGGATTCAAGGGAAGAGGGACCCATGCTCCTATCTACATGCTCCTCCCACCCCCAGCTAATAAACACACTGGGGGAAGTCTATGTGGACTATGGTGGGCCGTCTCCAAGGACATCCAAGGTCATCCTCACTTTCACCACCATCTGTTACTCTTGCCTGTGAGGGACCAGGCTTACCGTGTGCACCCTCCCATTCAATCTGTAATCACCTCCCCTGCCTTCTAAGTAGGTGTGACAGTTACCCCTGTCATAACTCCCATTTTACAAAGAAGAATTGAGACTTAGAGCAGAAAAAGTCATTTACTAAGATTGTAAATTAGGAGGTGCAAAGCTGGAACTTGAACCAGAGTTTCAAGGGGCAAGTCCACTCTCCCTCCACGGTCCCCAAAGCCGTGAGATGGCTGGGAGGTGGTTTGGAGCAGCTGTATTTGGGGCCAAATGGGTGGGGTGTCATTAAGTCATGAGGAAGGGTACTCCTTGAGATCTGAGCAGCAGTCTGGAGGGGGACACAGGCTGGGGCCCAAACTAGCAGAGCCTCATTCCCTGGTCTAGGGTCTTATAGACCATTTGGGGGACCAAATTTGGGCCAAGGCCACCAACACACAGTGTCTGGAAGAACCCAGGTAGTAGCGAGGTGAGAGACCACACAGGCCCTGGAGTCAGCTTTGAGAGTTCACACCCCAGCTCCCACCAAGCACTCTCACCAGCTGTGTGACCTTGAGCAAGTTCCCTGCGCCTGGATGGCTCAGTCGGTTGAGCGTCTGACTCTTGATTTAAGCTCAGATCATGATCTCAGGATCATGAGAAATGAGCTCTGAGTCAGGCTCCGAGCTGGGCATGGTTGAGATTTTCTCTCCCTGCCTCCCTCTCCCTTTCCTTTTGCCCCTCCCCCACTGATGTGCCAGAGTGCTTTCTGTCTCTCTCTCTCAAAAAGAAAGAAAGAAAGAAAGAAAGAAAGAAAAAGAAAAAAGAAAAGGAAACAAGGAAGAAAATGAGGCACTAAATAGCCTGCGCCGCTGGAGGATGGATAAAGTTGAGGGACTGAGGGAGATAACATAACATATGATGTGTGACAAGTGCCTGACATGGAGTGCCTTACTCAGAAGGGTACACGTGGCACGTGTTTCTTGGGGGAGGGCCTGGGCAGGGGGTTCTGGAGAGCCCCATGTAGGGATGATCTCTCTGACCCCAGACGGTGACGTGGACCAGCCTGGCTGAGAGACCAATACCTGTTCCGAGTGGGGATGTGGGTCTGGGAAGCCGGTCTGCCCAAGACACCAAGCCCCCTTCCACCACCCACTACCTTCTCCTCCGAGCTGGTGGGCGCAGGCATCTCAGCACTTGACTCTCTCTGTGGTGAGTGATGGGGGAACTCTGGCAGGTGGGAAGGGCTGGGAGCTGGGAGCTCTGGGGGGCCAGGGGCATAAGGTGGCGGGGGGGGGGGGGGGAGGGGGAAGGCCCGAGGTGCCCGACTCCCAAGGGGCGGGATGGGAGCCTGGCCCTGCCTGCCTTAAAATTCCCCTGAAGCCGGGGTGGGAGGCTGGGGCACAATGGCGGCTGGCTGACTTCAGTTGGGCCGGGGCAAGAGAAAAGGAGCTGGATTTCGGGAACCTGCTGGTGAACAGCAAGCAGTCCAGGTTGCTGGTGCTTCTGAACGACGGCAACTGCACCCTATATTATCGCCTGTTCCTGGAGCAATGCAGTGTAGCCCTGAGGTCATGGTGACAACCCACTTGGTACTCAGGCTAAGACTGGACTGGAGGCAAGGAGGCGGGCAGTGAGGCGCGTTGAGAGCTTGGTTAGAAGCCTGGAGGTCTCAGTCAGTTGAGCATCTGACTCCTGATTTTGGCTCAGGTCATGATCCAGGATTTATTACGTGAGCACCCCACACACCTTTTGCTCCGGGCTCCACAATGAAGGGGAACACACTGCTTAGATTCTGTCTCTCTCCTTCTGCCCCTCCCCTGTTCGCTCTCGTGCATGCACTCACTCTCTCAAATTAAAAAAAAAAAAAAAGGTTAACCAGATCATGGTTTGGGGGCAGGCAGAGCAGGGCTTAAAACTTGGTGTTTCTACCTTTCGATGTGTGGTATTAGGCAGTTCACTCTCTGAGCCTCAGCTTCCTCATCTGTAAAATGGGATTATTGTTGGCACCTACCTCACAGGGCTGCTGGGTGGCGCAAAGTGCTTAGCAGGTGCCCATGACATGAAGACTGGTTGCCTCTGTCTGGTCTGGGAGGAGGGACTCTGCTCCCGCTTCCCAGCTCTGGGCCTGCTCTCTAACCAGTTCTCTGCTGGTCCGGGAGAGGGTATCTGGGAAGGAGCAGGAGGAGAGACCGGGACTCTCTGGTCTGCACTGAGGGCCTCTTCTACCTTTGACCCCACCTGGGTCATCCCTGAGCAGCTTTGCAAATGGACCGTACAGAGGGCAGAATGCCACCCCGGTCCCAGGACACCATCTGCTTGTCGGCATGTCCCAACCGCCGGTCCCAGTACTCCTGGATTATCAGCTACTCCCTCCTCTCACACAGAGGTACCTGGGCCATCTGGCAGAATCAGGGTCAGGGAGGAAAAGGGGAGGGCTGTGTGAGCAGGACTTGGGTCGGAAGGGTGCTGAGGTTCCGGACAGGGAAAGCAGAGTGAGTGTTAGCGTGCAAGGGTGTGCCTTTGGGTGAATGGCATGTATGTCTCATGCCAACCACATGCGTCTGTATGTGTGCCTGTGTGTGCCTGAGCCGTGGAGGGCTCAGTGTGAAGGGTTTGGAGCTGTGCCTATTTACTGTGGGATCTTAAGACAAATCCCCAACCACGTGGGGGCCTCAGCTTCCTCCTCTATAAAATGGAGTTGTTACCAGCTTGCTCCGGGGCCCACTGGGAGGAGTCTGGGGCAGCACAGAAGAGTGCCTAAGAGCGTAGATTCGAGCCAGACTGCCTGGGATTGGATCCTGGTCCGAGCATTCACTAGCTGTGTAATTTAGCAAATTGATTAAGCACCCTCTGCCTCAGTTTCCTCATAGTAAAATGGGAATAATAATGGTGCACAGGCCAAAAAAAAAAAAAAAAAAAGTACTGATACATGTTACCACATCGGCGAACCTTGAAAACATTAGGGCAAGCAAAAGAAGCCAGTCACAAAAAAAGCCACATATTGTATGATTCCATTGATATGAAATGTCCAGAATAGGCAAATCTGTAGAGACAGAAAGCAGATCAGTGGTTGCCAGGGACGGGGGGAGGGGAGAATGGGGACCGACAGCTACTTGGTACCAGGTTTCTTTCTGGGGTGATGAACATGCTGTAATATGGACAGTGGTAATGGTTGCACAACTCTGAATATACGAAAAATCTGAATTGTATGTGTTAAAAGGGTTAATTTTATGGCATATAAATTACATCTCTTTTTTTAATCAATTATTTTAAGTTTATTTATTTTGAGACAGAGACAGTATGAGCAGGGGAGGGGCAGAGAGAGAGTCCCAAGCAGGCTCTACAGGATCAGCGCAGAAAGCCAAAATCAAGAGCCAGACGCTTAACCGACTCAGCCACCCAGGTGCCCCTAAATTATATCTCAATAAAGCTGTTAGTGAAAGTTAGTTTGAAAACAGTAATGAACGGTACACATTAGATACAGTGATGCATGAAGAGCACTTAAGACAATGCCTGACATGGAGCGCCTGGGTGGCTCAGTGGGTGAAGCCTCCGACTTTGGCTCAGGTCATGATCTCACGGCTCGTGGGTTCAAGCCCCACGTCAGAGCCTGGAACCTGCTTCAGATTCTGTGTCTCCCTCTCTCTCTGCCCCTTCCCTGCTTGAGCTCTGTCTCTCTCAAAGATAAATAAACATTAAAAAAAAAAAAAAAAGACAATGCTTGACACATAGAAAGTATGTGACAAGGCTTCACTGTTGGCTGGAAACGTCCCAGAGCCTGGGAGACACCTGCTGTTCCTGACAAGGGTCCCAGGCAGGTTTCCTACACCCTTAGCCTGCGTGCTCTGCTCTGCCCCAGGGCAGCTGGGAGGTGAGGCCACTCCTCTCTCCCACATGTCTTCCGCCTAGATAACAAGGCTGGGGAGAAGCAGGAGCTGTGTCACGTCTTCTTGACGGCTGTGTACCCCTTACTCTCCATCCTGGACGTCTGCTCCATGGGCAGCGCTGAGGGCATCACCCGGAAGCACCTGTGGCGCCTCTTCTCCCTGGACAGGCTCAACAGTTACTTGGAGCGCGATCCTACCCCCGAGGAGCTCACCTATAAGGTGCCTACCCGGCACAGGTGAGGTGGGCGGACAGAAGGGGCAGGGCCCATGTGGGGATGTTCTTGGAGCTTTCTGACTGCACTCCCAGCACCAGGCCCTGCCCATGAACACTCTCATCTCCCCCTGAATTCTTGCCCATCCCTGGAGGGGCCAGGAGAAGTCAGGGCTTGGCTCAAGGTCCAAAGCACTAGCCCACCCCTGCCCCTGAGGCCCAGATTCTCCAATTCCCACCTGCAGAAAGAGGAGTTGCTGAGCTAGCCACCGCCCCACCCCCCACCCCCCGGGAGGGCCCTATACTGTTCCCACCTGTCTCTGAGTCTGTTTCTCTGTTCCACACAGCACAAGCCAGATCCCCACCGTCTTCACCCCTCTGAAGCTCGACTTCAATTTTGGAGCAGCACCGATAGAGGCCCGGCCCTCTGTGGTGCTCCTGGCCCTGAAGAACATTGGAGCAGTACCCCTGGACTGGTATGGTGGGCTCGGAGGGGGCTTCTGAAGGGCTTGGGAGACAGGTGTTGGAGGCCTTCTCTTGTTGGTGGTAGTCCTGGCTGCCTGATCTCTGTGAACAGTGGATCCCCTCATTGATGGGATGGGGAGGCCAGGGTGGGACAGAGCCTCAGTCCAGGGAGGCCAGGCCTGCATGGGGGCGAGTGAAGATCTCTGGTAGGGAAGGACAGAGACAGGCTGTCGCCGAGCCAGTGTCTGGGAGGATGACATGGCTGAGCCAGAACACCTGGGCTGCAGGAAGGCTTGAGGCCGCAGGCTGCACTTCTCCAGGTCACATGGGCACCGGCCTGGGGCTCTGAGCCTGCCAAGCTTGGCCCTTGCTGTGCTCGACTTTCTTCCCACTGGGGGCCCGAACTTGGGTCCAGTAAACATCCTGTTTCCATGCCAAGGCTGTTTCTTGTTCTTCCCCCCTGTCTCTGCCACGCGTCTTGATTTCCTAGTAAACTTCCTTTTGATGACTTCTAACTTTTCTTGGCTAAGCGGAGGTGAGAAAGAAGTGTACCCATCTGGGTCAAGCTTGGGAGAGACAGTCAGGGGCCCAGCCTGGGAAA